TGAGATTCAAGAAGATAAATGCATAAAAAAATTTAAAAAAAACTGGATGCAGGAGCCAAACAGCAGAAAATCTTTATGGTTTTACACCTGAAGAAGCTTATGGGAAAACACCTACTGAGCTTCTAGTGGAAGATCCTAAAGATGTTGTATTAGCTGATTATCTCTTAATGCGAACGGTAAAAGGAGAGAGTTGGTCTAGAGAGTTTCCCATAAGGAAAAAGAACGGAAAAATTATCATGGTTATCGCGACCAATACGCCATATCGTGATGAAAATAGAAGATTAATTGGGGGTATATGTGTAACGACTGTTGTATCATGGTTATCAAGTAATGAAGCCCGGGAAGAGTCCCACAGACATGTGCAGGAATAAACAGACAGGCATGTGTAGGTATTGAACCAGTAGAGGGAAAACAAAACATACCTATAGGAAGACTGGAAAATAGCRGAACRMAGAAGCGGAGCTGCAAGGAAACAGRTGAAAATTGAGAGCGAAAACTYAAAACCTAAAAGCAAAACCTAAATTGAGCGAAAACTCAAAACATACCTGAAAGCGACGATTGAAAACAGCAAAGCCGATTGGAAACGACCTGCAAGGAAACAGATGAAAATCGAGAGCGAAAACCCAAAACCCAAACACAAAACCTAAAAACAAAACTCAAWCAGTTCATACCTGAAAGCKACGATTGAAAACGACGAAGGCGATTGAAAACAGCGAAGCCGATTGGAAACAACRAAGGCGATTGTGAAGCGATTGAGGTGRGAACGATTCGGCGATGGAAGACTCTTAAAGGGAACATCTTGGGGAGTGAAGCGTCGTCTCGGGAGCTGAAAATAGAGGAGTGTTCTTGGGGGAGGAGAGAGTCGGGTAAATTGAAGAGACATATTGGGGGAAGGGAAGGGAGGCGTGTAAAGGAGGAGTGTAAAATAGGTTTAAGGGTATTTTCGGTATTTCAAAAGTTAAGACTTTAAGACTTTGATCAAATTTGTTTAATAAGGTAGTATAGATTATCTTCAAAAAATATAAATTCATTAAATTTATACTATATTATAAAGCATTTGACAAAAACTCTTAATAACTATTTTTATGTATAAAGTACTGTTTATTGATGCATATTATTTAAAATTCAAGATTACAAGTAATTTGGCGTAAGTACAACTTATTAAAGCTTCATTTTTAAATTCGTGTAACTAACTACAGATAAAATAATCAAATACAGAATAAAAATCCATTTTAAATATAAAAAATGTAAAATATAATAAAGATAGTTATTGAGTTCTAACAAAATATTTAGTTATTGTCTTTATAAAAAATTATATTATTAAACCAAAAAATAAATTACTTTTTTAATTAATCTAAATTAAATTATAATAAAAAATTGAATTAAAAAAGTTACATCAAAAAACGAGAACTACTAAATAGTTAATTTGATACTAATATCGATTTTATTTTTTTCAAATTTTTATGCTATCTTCAAATTTATATTTCGTTCAAAAAT